ACTTGGTCAGGAGAAGTTGAAGTTGCAAGACTGAGGTCTCCATGTCTATTCTGGATTAGCCCTGCAATTCTTATGGAAGATTTGAACAAACTCTGCATATGTACTGCCTATTGTACTATATCTTTTAAAATTAATTTCAGAAGGATTTCTACTAGGGCTATCGATTAATCACAGTTAACTCACGCGATTAACTGAAAAAAATTAATCACAATTAAAAAAATTAATCATGATTAAAAAAGTTAATCGCGATTAATCGCAGTTTTATACCAATTGAATATGTATTAACTATTTTTGGATGTTTTTCTACATTTCAAATATACTGATTTGAATTACAACACAGAATACAAAGTGTACAATATTTTACAAATATTTCCACTGTAAAAATGATAAACAAAATACATAGTATTTTTCAATTCACCTCATACAAGTACCAGAATGCATTCTCTTTATTGTGAAAGTGCAACTTGTTTTACATAACTGCACTCAAAAACAAAACAATGTAAAACTTGAGAGCCTACAAGTCCACTCAGTCCTACTTCTTATTCAGCCAATCGCTAAGACAAACAAGTGTGTTTACATTTACAGGAGATAATGCTGCCAGCTTCTTATTTACAATGTCACCTGAAAAAGAGCACAGGCGTTTGCATGGCACTTTTGTAGCCGGCATTGAAAGGTATTTACGTGTCAGATATGCTAAACATTCGTATGCCCCTTCATGCTTCAGCCACCGTTCCAGAGGACATGCTTCCATGCTGATGACACTCGTTAAAAAAATAATGCGTTAATGAAATTTTGACTGAATTCCTTGGGGGAGAATAGTATGTCTCCTGCTCTGTTTTACCTGCATTCTGCCACCTATTTCATATTATAGCAGGCTACAACAGTACCATGCGAACGTCTGTTCTCACTTTCAGGTGACATTGTAAACAAGAAGTGAGCAACATTATCGCCTGCAAATGTAAACAAACTTGTTTGTCTGAGTGACTGGCTGAACTCGAAGTAGGACTGAGTGGACTTGTAGGCTCTAAAGTTTTATATTGTTTTATTTTTGAATGCAGTTATTTTTTGTACATAATTCTACATTTGTAAGTTCAATTTCATGATAAAGATATATATATATATATATAGATAGATAGATATAGATATTTGAAAATGTAGAAAACATCCAAAATATTTAAATAAATGGTATTCTATTATTGTTTCACAGTGCGATTAATCGCACAATTAATCTTTTTAATTGTGCAATTAATCGCAATTAATTTTTTTAATCGCTTAACAGCCCTAATTTCTATAAATCAGCAGCCTCACCATCTCTGGTGTGAAACTGTCCTAAGAACTTTATTCATATCTGTATGTATAATAATCTTTTAACCAAAATAACTCTATTTTCTTTTTAGTAATAAATATTAGATTAGCTAATAAAAACTGGCTGTAAATATGTATTTGAGTGAGATCTGAAATATTCATTGACCTGATGGGTAATGTGTCTGATCTCTTGTGATTGGTAGAACTTTCTATATGGTGAATAAGGTCTCAAATAACCCTCACTATATAGACTTGGCTGTCTGGGTGTGACCCAAAGGCTGGATTGCTTAAAAGGAACTGTATTTTGGCTTCTGAGTAACCAGTCAGGTTTTACAGAAGCTGTTTTGTTGCTGGCTTGGTGAATCTAATTATAAGAATAAACCACCAGTTTGGGGGATCGTCTACCTTATTCTTTGTAGTTTGCTCTGGTTGAGTATTCTCAGTATAGCCCCTCCAGTGACCATGGTCACAGCTACATTTGCAGCACTGTCTGTGACAAAGCTACACACTTGACACTTGACTTTTTCTTCAGTTTGTTACAGCTTGTATTGCTACTTCTTAAGTATTCTGCTGTATATGCATTTCCTGATGTATCAATTGTTTCTGTGAGAGACACAACCTTATTGTCTGTTGCCACACAAGCACATATTACTGGATCGATGTGTACATTGCTCATCAAGACTCAGATTAACGAATTTCCTGTCAATGTTTTTGCACACTGTTCGATTTCCTTCTCATATACTGTATCCAGCACCCTTCCTGCAATGTCTGCTCTGCCAGGTGGAGCACAGCTTGGTTGTAATGATTGAATCATGTCAATGCAATGTTTGTTCTGAACAAGACAAAAGGAAAAAATTATTGCATAAATGAACTGAGCAACCATTTCATCTATGGAACTTTGCTGGAATGTGCTGGTACTGATTACAAATGGAGCCATGGTTTTACTGGAGGATGAAGAAAGTCTTTTTTTGTTTTTTTGATACTGGTAATTTACTGTCTGACATATGTTTAGTTGTAGCACTGCCGATGGTACCAGCCGATGACTCTAAAGTTGTAGATATTGCAAATGATGGACATTTATAACCCCTCCTGTCTAAGCTGGACCCTGAAACAAAAGGGTCAAAAAGTCACTCACTCACTATTACTCAGTGCGCTGTTTTTTTTTAAAAATGGGATTGTAAATGAAAGATTCCTCCTACTGAAGCTGTTTGTGCCACAGTTGAAATGATATAATTTATTCTAAACTCATTTTCATAGGGAAAATAATTAATAAATCATAAGAATTATCTAAATTTTTTGAACCTTTACCTCTAGTAACATATCAAACAGCTTGGAAAAAATTTTAATGCCAAAATTCATAAATGCCTAATAAAACTTTACTTTTAAACAGGTAAACTTCACCTAGGATGCTTGATTATACTGAGCAATAAAAGATCACTTCAGAAGTCCAGCAGTAACAGTAAAAATGTAATTGATAAATACTCCCACAACAAACTAACATACCAATTATATTCTGAACACAAATATATTGAAATTCATAAGCAATTAATCCACTCAAAACACAAATGTATGACAATAATCTAAGTAATCATTTACTAGCATAGTAAAGCATGGCCGGCAGTCTGTAAGAATGGTGCAAAAATAAGTTTACTAACCAGCTGATTCAGATTGGTCAGACAAGTCCACAACAGCTTCAAAGTTATTGCCTTCTGAGCGGCCCTTTATTAATGTTGTTTCCTTTTGACAACCAGGCCTTGCGTTTCCTTGTTGCACTGTTTACATTTGACTCCTGTTCCCTTTTTACCCAGAGGTAAAGGAATTTCTTGAAAATATTCCCAGATAGGTTGTTTTTTTTAAATGAGCTGAAGCCATGGCAGTTTTCCCCCCTCCAGTTCCCAGGTGTTGAAATCAACCCAAGAGGCTGCACTCAGATGAATACTGTCCCTTAGTAAGTTTCCATGGTGGGTGGAGTCGTAAATATTCATAATCTGAGAACTGAGCCGAACAGAACTCAGGGAGGGAGAAGCTATAAAACAGGAGTATGAGACCCTCCCAGATGGGTTCAGTGGATGATCCTGGTGAGATATATGATGGTGTCTCCAGGAGTCACAGGCTGGGTCCCAGCACCTGTGATGACTTTCTCTGTCTCTTAAACCCAGTAGCACAGCCCCGGGTCCACCACAAGATCAGGCCCTTACCACAGCACATGACCTATTGTGCCATAGTCATAAAGCTTGACCTCCAAAGTTCGATGTTTGTCCCCCGATTTTTTCTTGATATAGAAAAGCAGTGGCTCATTGAATTAACATATTTATTTTTTATTTCAACGTTTAAGAAGAGATTATAATAAGTTTAGGCCTTAACATATTTTGTATTAAATTCAGATTTCATTGGGAAAGAAAAAATATTATAATTTAAACAACAAAATAAAAAAAAATTAATTTTGAATTTAAAAAGTCTAATTTTTTGGGTAAACCACTGCTTTTTATCCACCTTGGCAGGACGCCTGTCACACCGCTGAGCCGATTCAGGAGCAGAGTATGAGCCAGTAGAACAGCTTTTCAAAGAGCTTTTTGGTGAATACTAGGATCTTATTGAAAGTGCGGAGAGCGAGCTCTGAGCCCGCTGGGTGCTCTGACAAAGGTCCTGCCCATCTTGAAAGGCATCGTCACTGTGTTGGAGACCCTACCCAAGTCTCCAGAGACCAGGAAAATCATATGTCAAAACACTACACTGGGGATCAGTTAAAATTGCTCTACAGAAACTCTAAAGATGACGGAAATGCAAAGTGAAGCCATCCAATGGAACTTTCCATCTGCTCAGCCCAGAGCCTTCGCCTCCCCACTAGCACAACCGCACACCCCAGAGAATCAACCCCACCCCTAGCTCTGCCTCTGCTTTCCAAAGCTCTCACCACCTCAAAGCCAGCAGCCCTCTGCTCTTACCACCCCTTCTGCACAGTTTTGGAGCCAGACTCTCAGGAGGAGAAGGGTGTGCCAAGGGATGCTAGCTGCAGTGCAACCTTACCTGAAACAAAGCACAGTGCTTTCATGCACTAATAGTACAGCCAGTGTGGCCAACTCTCCCAAATTTATCACAGTCACGGGATTCTAGACCCTGCTGGAGCCAGTCTCACAATGATAGGAGAAGCTGCAGCCTTAACACATTTTAGCCGGCCTGGAGGAAATCCCCCTCTGAACGGCTGCTTCCCACTTCCCCACCTCCTGGGGAAGAACAGCCAATCATAGCTGCTGCAGGAGGCAGGAAAGGAAGAAAAACAAACGGCAAAGAAATTGCACATCTACCAAGAGCTTGTGCTTCCTGACAGGGCCAGATGGGGGCACTGCCTCTGGAAAGCCAACACAGGTGCCAAAAGCAGCAGGAGCAAGAAGAAAGAGCTGAAACCTCTGACTTAAGGTAAGAAAAACTGGGGCCGTGTAGCAGCAGCCACTGGAGACAGAGAACCCAGACCCCTTTTTGACCCTGGACCCTACCAGAGGTGTTGGGCGCCTTACCACATGCCTGTGTGTCAGCCCCTTATCGCAGGCCTGGGCACTGCCTCAGCACTGTGCCCCATGCCTGTCCCCCCCGGTCAGTGACGTGGTCCCACTGCCCCAGTCTGCACTGTCCCTGCCTGGGCTGCTCCCTTCCATCCACACTGCCTCTTGGGGCACCCAGCACAGGGGCATCCTCACCTGCACAGGCTCCAGAACAAGCTCACTTAAATCCACCTTTTCGGCATAGGCCTGGAGCAATGCAAATAAGTCCTTCCACCTGATGGCTTCCTGTAGCTCCCGGCGCTGGGCAGCTGGGCTCCTAGAGCTCCTCTTGGCGTATTTCCTCTCGACATACTTGGAGATGATGAAATCTTTCCGAAGGGCCCTGGGGTGGTGCCAGCATGGGAAGAGAGTTAGAATTCACATGGGAATGCATAGGCCTTGTGCTCCTGATCCCGATTGCTCCTGCTCCACTCCTGGGCAAGGCAGGCATAGGCTCAAGGCTGCCAAGGCAGGCAGCCATCAGAGAGGTGGTGCTTCCCCTCCTCTCCTGCTGCTGGTTCCTTCTTACCTCTGCCCCTCCTTTCCTCTTGCCTGGCCCCCACCCTCCTGCACAGCTCCCCAGATCATGCTCCAGAAGCACTGCCAACTCTCGAGATATTTGGTGCTGTCTTAAACTGCAGCTGCTGCAGTCAGGTGATTATGTGAGAATCACGGTTTCTATTCTTCAAAAGTCAGTTTCTGGCCACTGGAAGCAATGTCCCACATGTAAGCGAAAGGCCCACAAATCAGAAGGCAAAGGACATCATCATGATTGGAATGGAGAAAGTAAATAAGGAAGTGTTATTTACTCCTTCTCATAACACAAGAACCCAATGAAATTAATAGGCAGTAGGTTTAAAACAAACAAAAGGAAGTATTTCTTCACACAAGACACAGTCAGTCTGTGGAACTCTTTGCCAGAGGATGTTGTGAAGGCCAAGACAATAACAGCGTTCAAAAAAAGAACTAGATAAATTCATGGAGGGTAGGTCCATCAATGGCTATCAGCCAGGATGGGCAGGGATGGTGGCACTAGCCTCTGTTTGCCAGAAGCTGGGAATGGGCGAGAGGGATGGGTCACTTCATGATTACCTGTTCTGTTCATCCCCTCTGGGGCACCTGGCATTGGCCACTGTTGGAAGCCAGGATACTCGGCTTGATGGACCTTTAGTCTGACCCAGTATGGCCACTCTTATGTTCTTATCAAATGTTATCATCTCATGATATCTGGGCTTGACACATGATTTTGATGTGTCGGGTTAGCAATGCCGCCCTGCCTCGGGGGCACTCTGTAGATTTCTCCATATGGATTGCAATGCGCTACACTAAGGCATGGTACTGTGAGGTGAGGGATGGGCAGGGCAGGAGTTGAGGGGGGAGCAGAGTACCAGCATGGTGCACAAGAGCACATCAACCCCTGCTGCTGCCCTCTGAACAGGTGGGCTTCAGGGGCTTTCACCAGCGGCAAGCACTGCGGGTCACAGAATGCTGGAAGCTAGCGATGGAGACACCTGCTGGCCCTTCCAGCCTATCCTGGCCAGGGCAGGATTGTTCCCCAGGGTTTGTTTTCTAGCATTTTGTCCCATCTCGTTTTAAATATCCAAGTCATGGGATTCCTGCCCTGTCCCCTGGGAGGCGCTTGCATCACCTCATATAGCTCAGGGGGCACTTCCTGAGATGCAGCCTCTCTTTTCTCTCTCAGTTTCCTCCCATTTCCCCAGGTTCTAGCCCCACAGATCACACTTAGACCACTCCACGCCTAGTTGTGTGTGCCCCCCAGACAGTCTTGCTTTAGCCACGTTCTGCAGATTGAGCTCTCTATTCTTTCCTTACAAAGCAGAGCCTCTCACTTCATGGCTGGTTCCATTGCTCTCAGGCCTTCGTCTATATCTTTCTGACAGGGCAATGCCCAGAGCTGGATGCAGTGTTTAGAGATTCATAGATGTTAAGGCCAGAGGGCCCATTAGCATCATCTAGTCTGACCTCCTGCAAACACAGGCCAGAGAACCCACCCAGGAATTCCCAGATCCAGCCCAGAACTTATGGTTGAGCTAGAGCAGAGCTTAGAAGGAGATCACCAGCCTGGACTTCAATGTCCAGGGGATCTCGAGAGGTGCCAGTGCAGTCGCCTCCCTGGTCTGTGATTGACACTATAACACTCTACACCCCAGGGGAGCACCCTGTAACCCCCATATTCGTCATTTGTATATAGTTGTGATATTGCATATAAAGCAGGCCATGCAAGGTATCACGGGAAAGGTTATGATCTGCTGAAACCCACTGTTCCATCTAAATATGTGTATCATTAATGCATGTGAAGTTATGAGAATTGTGTTGCATGGCTGTCACTTAAATATGCTGTGGGTTTGGGAAGCGCCCAGATACTAGCTCCCCAAAGACAATAACCAGGGGGATAACCAACGCCCGGGCAGGTGTCAAACAGCCATTGTCCAGCAAGGGAGCTACAATACAATGACTCACTTGCACAAAGCCACACCAGGGGAATTGCTCAACCTTGCCTGGTGACTCAGCAATGCCCACCAGACATGCCTGGACATGTGTTCTCCAAGCACATGGGACTAAGGGTATAAAACAGAACACAGTGGCCCCATGCTTGGTCTTTTCTCCTCCCCTCACCTATGCTGCAAGCAACAAGGATGCTCAGAAGACAGAAGATTTCAACAGAGGAGACTGGCCCAGGTTTAAGGGACAAACCTGTATATTGAGAACTGTAAGATTCAGAGGGGGTGAGAACATTGCTTGATCTAAATACTGTCTAGTGTGATAAGAGTTAAGGTTGAGACTGAGTGTTTAAATTTTATTTTCCTTTGGTAACCACTCTGACTTTTTGCCTATCACTTATAATCACTTACAATCTATCTTTTGTAGCCAATAAATTTGTTTAACTGTTTATCTTTACCAGTGAGTTTGCCTGAAGTGTTTGGTAAATGTGCTCAGGTTTGCAAAGGCTGGTGTATATCCACTTTCCATTCATGAAGTGGTGAACCAATTAATAATTTGCATTGCTCAAGAAAGGGTCTCGAGCAGTGCAAGATGGTATATTCCTGAGGTACTAGGCTGGGAGCTGAGGGAATCTGGCTGGTGCTTTTCTCTCTGTGATTTGTGAGTGGCTCTGGGGGCATTCATGCAATCTAGCTGGGTGTGGGGCTCCACATGCAGTTGTACTGAGTGACGATAGCACCTGGAGGGGTTTGCTGCATGTGACCAGTAAGGCATTGTGAGAGACAACCCAGATTAGTCAGTTAAGGGGGCAGCAGTCCCACAGTCGCAGCTTGCACCCCAGGGATCCTGTCACAGACACCTTTATCCAGGCAGCCCAGATTCCCTTGGGGCACCTCAGTGCGCTGGAAGCACAGTGGAATTTGCTGACAGCTCTCCGGCAGCTGTTCCTGTTCCCACCTGCTGTGGGCTTATTTGGTGTTATTTCTCCCTAGAAGTACAGTCTTGTATTTTTCCAAAATGAATCTCGCCTTGTTATTTCTACTGTGTGTTTACACTCCCTTTGTTGGATTTCTGCCCTCACTCACGGTGGACCTGATCCCCTTTTGGGCTGCGCCCAGCACTGGCATTTACACCTGTGCCCAGTGGCTGTAAAATGCTGCCATTCCAACTCAGTAGCATCCACTGCTCACCATGCCCTGGGGCACACGACCTACTGTGCCCTGGGGCAATGGGGGGCTGGGCCCATAGTCTGATCTGAAATGTAATTGATGTGAAGGTCGTTACTGAAGAGTTGGCACCCAAGGGTATGCCCCTGCCCATGACACCTTCCCATGCGGAGGAGTGTTTTCCAATGCACTCAGCATTGATCTAACTGTTCTCATTGACACCCAGGGAAATCTACCAGTAACATTAAAGGAAACCGGGCAACCATGCTCCAGGCAGCTCTGGAAATCTCAGCCCTGAAGTCACATCCCTCCTGCTTGAACTGCCTCTCTGCTGTGTCTGTCCTTGTTAAATGTCCAGAACAGTCTGTGGAATCCTCCAGAAAGAAATGCTGGCCGGCTCCCTCATTCCATGACTGAGCGTTCCCGGAGGAACCCAGGCATCTGTTCCAAGAAAATTGGGAGGGCGATTGGGAATATACAGTGCATTCCAAACAGGTGCAGGAGATAGGCTAAGCACCCCAATGCTCCACAGCTAATACCCCAAAGCCCTATCCGGAGAGGTTTGTCTTGGCTCCGGGCTCCTGAGAAACTACTTACATATCACTGCCAGTTGTGGGCTTCAGCAAAGGGCTGGGGAGGTTGGCTTCCAGAATGTCGTTAAAGCCAGAATTGCCAATGTTCTTAGCCAGCTGCAAAACAAACAGGCACAAAACAAGTTGGCGCAACATACAGCGCCATGCTGAGAGCTGGGAGCGCATGCCAGCCAGTGTACCGGGGGCGGGGAGGGTGCTGGACAGTAGAGCCCAAGGGCAGGGGCCAGGTAATCATGGGCACAGAGAGCCCGCCTCTCCCTGTAAGCTTGCTTTGAGGCTCCGGCCCATGTGCAGCAGCGGAGCGGGGAGAGCGCCCTGAGGGAGCGTGCGTGGGCGGCAGCGAAGCGGGGGGGCGCCCTGAGGGAGCATAGGCAACGGCAGAGCGGGGGGGTGTCCTGAGGGGGCCCGGGCGGCGGCAGAGCGGGAGGGGGGTGCCCCGAGGGAGCGCAGGTGGTGACAGAGCAGGAGGGGTCTCCCCGAGGGAGCACAGGTGGCGACAGAGCGGGAGGGGGCGCTCTGGGGGACCGCGCGCGGACAGTTCCCTACCAAGAGCTCGGAGGTTGCAAGCTTGTCCAGAGACAGCGACTGGATGCGGGAGTGGTGCACGCCCATCTCCCGGTGAATCCCGGAGCACTCGATGCAGATCAGGATGCCCAGGTTAATGGAGAGCCAGGCTGGGTCTGTTGGGGAGACAGCGCATTGCTCTGGTTAGCCCCATTATCCTGCCCAAAGTGCTGGGCAGTCACGGGCACAGGGTGGGGTGGGCAAGGCACCTTGTCAACCACTCAGTCTCACTCTACAGCGGGGCATCTGAGCAGGGGGTGGAAGTGGAGAAGGGAGAGGATGAGGAGGGGGATGGACTGGGACAGAGACGGGGAAGGAAGGAGAGTGGAAGAGAGGCTGAACTGGGAGTGAAGGTACATGGACAGTAAGAGCCCGATGCCCCCTCCCAGACCAGGTGCACTTTACTGAGGGAGGGAGTCCATGCTGGGACTAGAGCTGCCATAGCTCTTCTGCTTTCCTCCCTGCAGCCTCAGGTGCCCCAGAGGGAATGGCTGGAGCACAAGGCTCTCTGGCAATCTCAGGCTGGTGGATGGTCCCTCAGGGACCACATCCGGCTGGGGCAGGTCAGAGCAACCCCCAGGATGCTTTAGTCTGTGCTGGGGGCCAGGCAGGGAATCAGGGAGGCATAACTGGACAGAACAGAGAATCTGGGCTGTAGAAAAAAAATGCGAGAATCATAGACTATCAGGGTTGGAAGGGACCTCAGAAGGTCTCTAGTCCAACCCGCTGCTCAAAGCAGGGCCAATCCAAAAAAAAAAAAGATTTTGACTGCAGATCCCTAAGTGGCCCCCTCAAGGATTGAACTCACAACCTTGGGTTTAGCAGACCAATGCTCAAACCACTGAACTATCCCTCCCCCCAGGAACAGGAAGGGGAAGTGCCATAGGGTCCAAGGAGCCGCTTGCCACTTGACTTTACACAATTGACTGAGTGGAGGATGGCAACGGGGGCTGTTCATGGCAAACATGTAAAAATAATTGAAAATGTCCCAGCTTTGGATGGGGATGGGAGGAGAGTAGGGAGTCCCTTCCCCACAGCTGGCCCCTGTTGGGTCTGGGCAGGGAGCCCTTTCCCCACCCTTGGATACTGTCATCCCCTGGAGTTTGTGGATGGAAGCTGACAGGTCTGCTGGCTGCTTTGCCATGCTGTTGCTGTGGGTTGTGCATGCTGTGCGCAGCGGCACTCAGAGCAGGTCTACACTTAAAATGCCACATCTGCACTGGTGCAGCTGTAGCAATTTGGTGAAGATGCTCTTTCCCCGATGGCCCATGGAAATCATAGAATACCAGGGTTGGAAGGGACCTCAGGAGATCATCTAGTCCAACCTCCTGCTCAAAGCAGGACCAATCCCCAGACAGATTTTTGCCCCAGATCCCTAAATGGCCCCCTCAAGGATTGAACTCATAACCCTGGATTTAGCAGGCCAATGCTCAAACCACTGAGCTATCCCCCCACAATGCGCTTTCCATCACTGCCGGTAGTGATGGGGCTGCCAGACTCTGACACTAACTGGCTGGATGACCTTGACCAAGTCATTCTCCTCCCTGTGCCTCCATTCCCCCTGGGAAAGGGGCAAGTGCTGATGGGGTTTGTAGGCTGCTGCCAGAGCAGATGTGATCATGCTGCCAGTGCTCCAGTACAAGGCAGTTCCTGGGGTTTCTTGCCCGACATCCCACCTTTAATACTCACAGATTCCAAGGCCTCATCTAATCTGTCCTCCTGCATACACAGGCCAGCGAACTCCAAATAATCCCTGTCTTCATTCAAAACTTGCCAGGGATGGAGAAATCACCACTCTCCTTAGTAACTCCTTCCGCCAAATGTATACCTCCTTACAGTCTGAATGTGTCTAGCTTCAGCTTCCAGCCACTGGGGTGTTAGACTTTCTCTGCTAGACTGAGGAGCCCACCGGCAAATATTTGTTCCCCACGTAGGTACTTCTAGACTAATCACATCCCGCCTTAACCTTCTCTTTGTTAAGCTAAATAGAGTGAGCTCCTTGAGTCTATCACTGTGAGGCAGGTTTCTAATCCTTTCATCATTTGCGTGGCTCTTCTCTGAACCCTCACCAATTTATCCGCATCCTTCTTGGACAGTGGGCACCAGAACCGGACCTAGGATTCCAGCAGCAGAGGGCAGGAGTGACTGAGTGGGAGGAGCCAAAGGGCAGGAGGGAGGGGGGCTAGAGGGACTGATTTGGGAGGTGCAAAGGGCTCAGCTAAGTGATGGCTGAGAGGACGCAGTCTCCTCTCACCGAGCAGTGTCACAGCAGGATCCTTCCATTGATTCTGGGGGGTCCAAGGAACTTGAGGGCAGATCCTTGGTCCCCCTCCCTCAAGGCTGTAATTCAGGGAAAGCTCTATGTGGGGCTCCTGCCAAACCGGGTATTTCTGCAGGAGGGAGGAGTGCAGGGCATTTTCCCAGGGAGTTGTGGAAAGCCCCTGAATGGTGCTGGTGAGGGGGGTGGGAGCAGTGGTGTGCTGGCTGGGGTGGGGGTAAGGTGCCCAGATGCTCCCTACCACCCATGGCTCCGGCAACCCCATGCTGTGAATGGAGTCCAGGGCTGCGCAGGGGCTAGCGGCTGCATTCGAGACGGCTGCTGGCTTGGCTGGAGTACGGTCACTGCATCACTGTGCTGGGTGCTGACTGTGCAGCGGCTCTAGGGTGCCTGTCCCTGTCCCGTCCCCCCATGACTACGCTCACCTGGTGCTGAGCAGTCGCAGCACACACTGTTCCCTGGCATGCACTTGATTTCCTCGATGATGGCCCTGGTCAGCCCCTCCATGCTGCTCTCTCGACTGCCATGCACCCGGCTGAATGCCACGTTCAGAGCCTCCTCCTTACTGTTGCTGAGAACAGAAATCCAGCTGCGAGGAGGAGGAAGCTGCTGTCAGAGGGGCCCCTGTTCCATGTCAGCAAGGGGGTACGGGCTCTGTACTCTGGTGCACGGGGGAGCAGTGGCGAGGGCTAGGCATGAGCCATGGCTGCCCTGCTGTGCTCAAGGCTAACATGGGGAGGGTGATGGGGCAGTGGAGACCTCGAGTTCTGCACATGCACGTTGCTCTGAGGAGGGACTCTGCCCCATGGCCTCACCCTGGCCCTTGGCAGGAGCCCCGGAGTGGCTGCAGAGCAGCATCTCAGGGCTGCAGGGGTGGGCACTGTGCTTCCAGACCTGCCCAGCACCTTTTGCCTTGCACCAACACTTGCCTGGGGTGGGCCAAAGCATTGGCTACAGGCCTGTGCAGGCTCAGAGGAGGAAGTAGGGTGGGCTCACAGCAGGCTCCTCCCCACACCTCATTACTGGCAGGAACTTGGTAGTGAGGGCCAGTGAACTCAGACAGGCCATTGTTGCCTTCTGGCTGCTGCGTCTCCCTGCAGGGCAGACAGAGGCAGCCCAACAGAGAACGCCACTTTTCAGCCCCCACGTCCACAGCTGGGGATGGGCAAGAGAAGGAGGCTGGAGGCAGCAGAGCTTTGCAGGCAAGTCCCACTGTGCTGGCTGGTGCTAGGGCCAGGCAACACGGAGGCTGCTGGCTCTACTGCTCCACACGCAGGCCCAGGAGCCAGGGGCTGTTGAATTCCAGCCATGGCCTTGGGCAAATCAGGCATCAGCAGCCTCTGCCTCAGCCTGGCTACACTGCTGCCCTCCCTCCTGGAGGGGCGAGGAGGACACAGGGCTCCAGCCTGCGGCAGAAGAGTGAGATGGCCCAACGAGCTGGCTCCCATTCAGCAGCTCTCAGGGCTGGTACTTGTCCCTCCCAAGGAGCCGTTCTGCTCCCACCCCGGTACTTACGCGGTGCATTCCTGCTCGTCCTCTGCCAGGAAGTGGTACGTGCGGTTATCTGAGATACACAGAACCATTTGTGTTTAGACCTGAAACAAACCAGCACCCAGAGGGCACCAACGCCGCCCAGAGCCAGCTGTCTGCACTCCCCAGGTGAAGGGTGTGTGGCACAGTCCAGCACACAGAGAGGGGCCGCTCCTACGCCATTCACTCGCTTAGCCTCTGCAGCCAATGTGCATGGGTTAGCACCCTGCCTGCCCCACCCGAAGGTGGTGCCAGGTGCAAGAGCTCTGGACCACATGCCCGTAAGCATCTGAGGCTGTGAAGGTGCTGCATCACTGAGCTCTACCGCTCTTGCTGTCAATCTTTCCTCAGCCCCAAGTCCTTTCAGGACGCCATCCAGGGTGTTGTGTTTCACTGAATTGCACGAACAGCACCCAGCAGAATGGGCCCTGACTCGGAGCTGCAAAACCAATACCTAGGAACACCTGTGGTTGGCTAAGCTGCCTGCATTACAATGTGTTTGTAACTGAACCTCTGCTTTCCTCCTGCTAGTGTCACCCACCCAGGCAGACATCCAGCATGGACATACTCCAGCGAATCCCGCTGTGGAGATTCCCTTTCATCACAACACCCCTGCTTGGTGTTTGTCGAGCAGCTTGAAAGCTCAGAACTGCAAACGGCCTCGCAAACATGGTCTGTATCTCCATGCCCTGGGCCTGGCCTATAGCTCCCCATTGGAACCACACAATCAGTGCCCCTGCCCTGCACCTTGCTGCCTGCTTGCATTGGTTCTCTGACATGCTGCCTTCTCGGGGCCCTGAGTCAGAAATCCAGCACGCGGCTGCCAATTGGGCCTTCCCCAGGCATTACGAAACAAACAATGGGACTCACGTGAAATGAGGTCGAAGCACTTCCTATCATCCGGGTTCGGCTTCACTTGGCAAGTCAGCAAATTCAGCTTGGCTGGTGGGCGGTTTAGCTAGTGGATGGAAGATGGAGCCTTAGTACTCGCAGCATTGCTAGGACAGCAACCCCTGGGGGCAGGTCCCTGCCATGCTCCCAAGCGATTAGGGTTATTGAGGCAGGGAACAGGGAGGAAGAACTTTCCAGCGGTTAGGGACAAACCTAAACTTGGGAGACTCAGGTTCAAGACCCTGCTCTGTAAGAGCCTGGGGAAGTCACTTAGTCTCTCTGGCCTCCGTTCCCCTCTGTCCACGGGGATAACAGCCCTGCCCTGCCTCCCTTGGGAGCTGTGAGGGGAAATCCATTGAAGCCTGTGAGCACTCAGCTAGGCCAGTGACAGGAGCCAGACAGAACGCAGTGGGCCTTCCCAGTAACCCAGGCACATTCTCCTTACTGGTGCTATCATCAATAACAATAAAAGAAATCACAGCAATGACCTTTCCCCTGCTCCCGGATGCTTGGTGCACTCGCCATGCAAGCTCTCAGTCTGGGCAAGACCCTAGTGCCTTTGCCTGTGGTCCACTGAGGGCACAGGGACTCCAGCCTCATTGGAAAGACTCCAGTGGGCATTGGGTCAGGCCAGCAGCATGGGGCTGGAGAAGATCATACTCCAGGGATTCCAGTCAGGCTCAGGGAAAGCCACTAGACTCACTGTGGGTATCACAGTGCTAATCATCTGCACAACTCCCTGGAAGGGACTGAATCCCACAGGCCTTTTCAGCCCACCACTTCTGAGCATGGGCCATGAAGGTGATGGAGGCACTGGCCCTACCGTGCTGTGAAAGATGGTCAGGTAGCCATTCTGGATCGTGCACTTCCTCTTCTGCCAGACCTTCCTCAACCTGAAAATGAACCGGGAATTCTCTCATTTCAAAGGAGATGCTCAAAGTCCTTCTGCCCAGGGGGCTGGAGACCCCTTCAGCCAGGGACCAGCCTGTCAAAGGAACATGCAGAGCAGCACCACTGCAGGTAGCAATGCAGAGAGGAGAGGAGGGCACAGCTAAGGCCACAGCTTCTGCTCCTGACAAACTGCCTGGCTCGTGCAGGTGGGGGGAGGGTTGTAGCAAGAGCAGGGCGGGGCAGCCCTTGGCCTGCTGTGAGCTGAGCGAGGTGGCCTGTGGCACACTGCAAGAGGCGTGATGGACGGGCAGCACAGCCTCTTACTGGAGATGATGTATACAGCATTTTCCCTAAGCAATGGGATGCCACTGCTGCCAGTCCCAGCCTGGCAGAGCTCACTGCTAGGATGCGCTCCAGGCCTCTCAGTTCATGTGCTCCCTTCCACTTCTAGCTGTAGCCCTTGTCATGTCCTAGATTCCTCTCCTGCCTTGATATTTACACCCCACAGGGGTTTGTAAACTGCCTTGTCCCCTCCCCACCTGCAGGCACTGCTCAGCCAAGCTGGACATGTTACGCCCTTCCAGTCTCCTTTGCACATCAATCCCTTCGGCCCCTGATCATTTCCAGGGTTTACCTGGCCTCTTTGCTGCCATATTGCACTGCAAACTCATGACGGATTTGGAAGTGTCTGTAATAATCTACGCACGAGACAAGGTGGGCAAGGTAATGTCATTTACTGGCCCAGCTTCTGTTGGTGGAAGGGATAACCTTTCAAGCTTATACAGAGCTCTTCCTCAGGTCTGGAGAAGGTAACCAGAGTGTCCAAGCTGGAGGTTTTTAAGAACAGGTTAGATAAACACCTGTCAGGGATGGTGTAGAGCAGGGTTTCTCAACCCGTGGGTCAGGACCCAGCATTGGGTCACCAGAATGTTTCAAAGGTCGCATGGCAGCTCCTGTGATTCCTGTCCCATGGGACAGGCTGGACTCGCCTCCCTGCTCCAGGCACTGCAACCTCTGAGGTCCCCACGCCATTCAGATTTGGCCCAGCTGTCATCATGACAGGAGTCCCAGTACGCCAAATGGGAGTGAGTGGCACTGCCACCTCAGGAGCCAGGTCACAACTCCACTCTCACAAAGTCAGGGGAGCAGGGCCAAACCTGAGCAGCGCTGCAACCCCTGAGATTGCAATGCCTAGAGCGGAAAGCCAAGTCCAGCCAGTCCCACAGCACTGGAGCTGCAGGAGCCACCACTCTGGGGTGAGTGCTGGGCAGGATCCAATTGAAACCACCCAAGGGCCTCTACCCCCAAACTTTTTACTGGGTTGTGACAGGCCATAAACATTTACAAATGGGCCCTGAGTCCACAAAGGTTGAGAACCACTGGTCTAGATAATACTTAGTCTTGCCTCAGTTCAGGGGTCTGAACTAGATGACCTCTTGAGGTCCCTTCCAGTCCTAAATTTCTACAATTCTAAGGTGGAACAGATTGTTAAGCAAAAGGGTTTCACATGTTGTAGGAGACCACTTAAAATGAAGTGGTCAATTAGCATCTTTGCAGTGGATGACAATGGAGGGTTAGTAGGCAGCAGGGTGTGTTACAAATTGTTGTAATAGACCATAAATCCAGGGTCTCTGTTAAGTCCATGGTTTTTAATGTCAAGCAGGCAGAGAGTTATGAATTTAAGGCCATGTCTACACACATCGCTGCAGCGGCGCAGTGTACTGATACAGCTGCGCCGCTGCAGTGTGTGTGGTGAAGACGCTCTATGCCAATGGGAGAGAGCTGCATAGCGCTTTGCACACCAGTGCTTATGTCGGTGTAACTTATGTTGCCCAGGGGGGTGGTTTATTCACACCCCTGAGCGACATATGTTTTGCCAGCATAGGCGGTAATGTAGATATAGCCTAAGTTCCCAGGCTCATCTTTTGAAGGTGTTGTCCAGGTTTCCTTTGAGAGCAAGGACTGAGAGGTCAGATGTGGCGTGAACATTTTGTGAAAAGTGTTTGCCTACATGTGATCTGGTGTTTTTGTCTTTTTCATTTTTCTGTCAGAGTTAATTCGAGAGCATAGTGATTGTCTGGCTTCAGCCACATACTTGGGGGATTTGATGCAGTGGATGAGGTACACCTCATGTTGGGATAGGCATGTGTAGGACCCATGGAACTTGAAAAGTGTGTGGTGGGGAGTACTGATCATCATAGCAATGGAGATATGTCTGCAGGTTTTGCATCTGTTGTTCTGGCAGGATCTGGTGCCGCTTTGAGTTGTGTCATGGTCCGTGGGGAGCCTGCTTCTGATGATGAGCTTAGTGAGGTTTGAAGGCCAGAAAAGGGGTTCAAGAAAGTTTTCTTTCAGGATGTAGTCCCCATCAAATATGGGTTGTATCTGTTTGATGATACCCCATATGGATTCCAATGTGGGGTGATAGGTGACAACTGGGGGTGTGCAGTCAGAGGCTCTCGCTTTTTCTGTATTGAAGCAGGTTCTTCCCAGGTATTTGGGTGGCCAGTTCCATGATGCAATCTACTTCTCTGGTGGATTGTCCTTGCTTTGTGAAGGCAGTTTTAAGTGTGTTAAGGTGTGCATCCCTGATTTTCTCCTCGGAGCATAGTCTGTGATATCTGAGTGCCTGGCTGTAGATAACAGATTTCTTGGTGTGTTTGGAGTGGTTACAGGATCTGTGAAGGTAGGTGTGGTGATCCATGGATTTCTTGTATATGGTTGTCTGTGGTGTTCCTCTTCATGGACTATTCTGGAAAAATGCCCCACAAAATCAATGATATACTTGAGATACATCAATGATATTTCCATCCTCTGAACAGATGACTTAGACTCCCTCATAGATTTCCACCACAACTTTAACAACCACCATCCATCCATTGAACTCTCTCTAGAACACTCCCACACCAGCATCAACTTCCTGGACACCACGATCAGCTTCAGCAATGGAACCCGACAGACAGTTATGCACAAGAAATGCATGGATCACCATGTCTACCTTCAGAGATCCAGTAACAGTCCCAGACATGCCAAGAAATCTGTTATCTACAGCCAAGCATCAGATACCACAGAATATGTTCCCGAGAGAAAGTCCGGGATACACACCTAAACACACTTAAAACCGCCTTCACTAAACAAGGACACTCCATCAGAGAAGCCACCCACGTGAATGGGCTACCCAAATATCCCAGAAGAATCTATTTCAGTAGAGGGAAAAAAACTCTTCTGACTGCACATCCCTAGTTGTCATCTACCATCCCACACTAGATACAGCGTATCATCAAACAGTAACAACCCACACCTGATGCGGACTACATCCTGAAAGAAATCGGTTCTAGGCAGCTGGGTGTGTGGGGGACTGCGCATGGCAGACTGGAGGATCCTGGCAGTGTAAGTGGCGGGTGCAGTGACAACGCTGCTGGAGCAGTGACTGCACTGCAGTTGGTGGCAGCACCGGTGAATGCAGCAGTGTTTCTCTTTGTTCTCTGTCCTGGACTACTTGGGAGCTGCAGCAGCCAGGTCAACATGTGACTTCTCACCCAACTGGGCCTGGTTCGTGGAGGCAATGCTGCATTTAGGGGCAGTCCCAGACTGGGATCTGTCCGTATGCCCATGGCTGTGCTTTTTATGGTCAGAGGAGGGCTTGTCAGGCGGCGGTAGTATCGACAGATACATGGGCACATAGCCTCTTCCACGAGGAACTTACAAAGACAAAGTTCCCTGGCTTCCCGTGTTCGGGTTGGGAACAAATGTCAAATGGTGCAGTGGGCCACAACATGGGCTTCGCCGAGGCAGTAGAGGCACTGTTGGTGCTCGTCGCTCACAGAGAAGGAGCGCAGGCACAAAGAGCAGTTTCTGAAGCTGACTTGCCAGGGCATAGTCCCCAGGTGAGGAAGTTTCCCCAACGGGAGAAGTCGGAAAGGAAACCTAACTAATTACAATACATTATAAAAACAAGAAAAATACTATTTGTAACTATGTACGCAAAGGCAGAACAGACTATCAACTCTCTTAGCTAGGCTAAGAACGCAGAGGAACAGGGGTTCCGACTCTGCCCATGTGGCGGTAAGAGGGAATTGGAGCAGAGTCGATGCACACAACCTCTTATAACCTTGGCTGTGGATACAAGGACAATGCATGATGCACATCCGGGTCAACAGACACTGCTACAGAATCGTCCCCGCTCTGGCACATGATGCACATGTGCACCCACGTTTGGAATCCATAGAGGGCCATCACTTGAAGAAGAAAGAGGTCTCTATCATAGCAGAGTCGTGTGTAGGCCTGCTGTTGTTTTAAAATCCTTTTCTCTCATTAAGCTGTTACTGCTGTTCACAACAGACAACAGGAGCAGTTTGGGTCACTGTATTCATCACAGCTCCCCAAAGGAAGAAACACACGTTCCTAGTCCAGTCGGACCTGTTGGTCAAATGTGGTTGGAAAACAAGGACCCGGTCTGAGTGGGGGAAATCACAGGACTCCACTCACAGAAGTGAAAGCTAGAGGTCTCAGATCTGGAGGAGATGCATTCAGAGAGACCCAAGGTGGGGACAGGTGCAGCCAGCCCTGATCTGGGACACCATCGTCGTACGCGTCTCTTAGCATCCCAGCTGCCCTGTGTTCCCTCCCATTGCGTATAAGGCAGTGGAGCAGGAGACTTGGCTTCTATTCCTGGTTCTGCCATCCACCAGCTGTGGCCCCTTCACTGCCCTGTGTCTTCCCTGCCCCCTCTGTCACAGAGGGATCATGGTACTGAGCTCCTGTGAATGGTTTTGGTCTGTGCAGGAAGATCACTGTTCCATCATTTAATATCTTCCTTAATGTTGCGGGGGAGCGACATTAGTGAAGTGTGCAGGGGAGGCTAACCCAGGCAGAGTGTCATGCCACTGAGCGTGGGGAGGATAGGAAAGGGACCTGGAGAGACTTGGAACTGGTAGAAAAAACCAAAGGAGGTTCAGCTTGGGAGTCTGCAGTGAATGCTCCTGGGACCACGGTGCTGCCATCCCTAAGCCCAGCCCCCACGCAGATTGTCACTAGAAACTGCCCCCCCATGTTATTTCTCATTCCCCTTTGGCTTTGTTTATGCTGCTGCCCCTAGTTTTCATTGCACACAGCACTGTTCCCGTCTGATCCAAAATGAACGCATTGTGAGGGAGACACAGTATCAAGGTCAGCTCAGTAACTCAGCTGAGGGGGCTGCGGGGCTGCACTGGAGATCCTACACTACAGACTAATGAGATCTGCACTTACCCATCACTTTTCTTAAAGAGGTTCCCCGATTTCTCGGTCCCATACTGCTTGTTCCCCTGCAGCTGGTGCATGTTGTACCGTAGCTGCTTGTTAGCAGAGTCCTAGTAGACAGAAAGAGGTAGCCGTTAGCCCATGCCCATCTCTCCCTAGGGTGACTCCTCCTGGCGGGATATTCCAGACTGGCATCTTAGAAAGGTCCCATCCAGGGAGGAGATGTGATGTTAATACAGAGTGCAGCGAATGTGGCAAGAACCAAACTCGGAGAGCAGTGCCCAGGGAGCAAACACAGACTGAACCAAGTGGTACAGAAAGCCACAAATCCCTCAGTCCGCTCCACAGCACTGCCCCATACCCAAGCTGGGCATGGGAAGGGAGAGGGAGCCCGGCCCTGTTTCCAAACCGCTGCAGGGCAGTAGTGACTGAAGCCATTTCTGCCTAGCCGCTCTCTGTGGCCTGGCTGAAAGGAGGGGTGTGTGGGAGGGGACATGGCCACATCACACAGCCACCACCAGAACAGGCCCCTTGCGGCAGCGGCAGCAGAGAGGCCAGTGACAGAGTAAGCCCTGGGGAAGCTGCCAGCGTGCTGGGTACGTGAGTGGTCAGGTTTGGAGCTCCTGTCATTGGGGGGGGGGGTGCTTAATGTTGAGGGGAGTAGGTGGGAGTCTTACCAGAGGGTTGTTGGAGGCCTCCTCCCTCCATTCCAATCTCCCTGGGCCCCCTCATCTCCTTGTCTTCCCACAGCCTCTGGCAGGTACCAGAGGGGATCCTGCTGCTCCCTCTGGGCTCGTCCCCTCTCTCTGGAGTCCCTACTCCCCACAGCTAGGGCAGTCTGGTATGGCCCAGCCTGGGGATGCTGCATGCCCTACGCTGCGCTGCCCGTTGGCATGTGCACAATCCCCAGGGAGCCTGCAAAGGGGGCACCGCCAGGGCTGCAGGTGAGGCAGTCAGGATGGGCTGCCCTGGGTGAGGCCGTCAGGACGGGCTGCCCTGGGTGAGGCAGTCAGGATGGGCTGCCTCGGAGAGGGAGGCCATCAGGATGGGCTGCTCTGGGTGAGGCCGTCAGGACGGGCTGCCTTGGAGAGGGAGGCAGTCAACAAGCTCAATAGGCAGAAACCACGACAACACCTCAGCCTCAACCTACTCCCCTGGGACAGCAGGCATCTCCAGCAGCTGGGTCTCTGTGGAACAGGAGGAGCATGTTGCCGGGACAGAGGGGTGAGGGAGACATGCCCTCCACTTCCCATTCCCCAACTGCTCTGGGAAGAGTGGGCTCCAGTCCCCAGGGCTGCAACTCCAGCACCTTCCAGGCACATGAAATTCACTCACAACATCCAATCCACAGCCCCCAAAGGAGAACTCTGCAGGGCCATGGATAGAGCAGAGCCCTCAACATCCCCCTGGCTCCTCCAGATTTGAGCAAGGAGAGCTGCTTCCCTTTGGCCCCTTAGCTCCCTGGGTGCGGGGGCAGAGCCCACCTCACAGGGCTCAGCCCATAGCCCAGGAACGAGATGGACTTGCCATTGCCACCCTGCACATGCCTTGTTCCCTGCATGAGCTCTGGGGATGCTGTGCAACGCACAGTATTGGACCAGAGTGACTGCTCTGATTGGTTGCTCCCCATGAATACTCTACCAGGCAGCCGTAACAGCAGTGCCTAGGAAGGGGGACGCGCTTTACCTCTTTCTGCTCCAGTTGTAATGCTGCTTTCAGGTGATCCCGGAGGGAGCACAGCTGCTGCTTCTCCTCGTCCTGCCTGACCTTCATCTGAAAGGCATCACACCACAGTGATTCGCTTTGCCTCTGTCTGTACATCCCACTCATTCTCTCAGGCAAGACAGGCATTTCTCCCACACACTCCAGAACACATGAGTTCCCATTCCTGTGGGAAGCACCATATTGAAAACATGGGCCCCCTGTGCAGCACCACGGCACAGGGCATGTACTACTGTAATACAAGCTTCTCCAAAATCCCATCTCTCCAGAGCAGCTTGGACAGAGCTATCTGCAGGTGGAGGGAACAGCAGTGTTTCCTCAGCGCTCCTCAAATGGAGCCTGGTGGGTGCATAGTGGCTATGGTTTGGCTAAATAATATAAACAACGTTTGAATCATAGAATCATAGAATATCAGGGTTGGAAGGGACCTCAAGAGGTCATCTAGTCCAACCCCCTGCTCAAAGCAGGACCAATTCCCAACTAAATCATCCCAGCCAGGGCTTTGTTTGCTCAGGACATATCATTACAACAGCTGTTTATGTTTCTGAACCAGGCACTGACTATCCAAAAGTCTGAAGTGCAATACGGTCACCTCTTGAGATGAGTCAGTAATGAAAACAGTTAACAGGATCAAAAGTTCAGTTTGCCAGAAAATGACAGTTAATTTTCAACGTGCCTGTAGGGCAGACATAGCTGAAGGGTTTGTGTGTTTATAGCATTAACAGACACTGCAAGTGCTGTGTATTATGCCTTGTTCTTCATTCCTCAAGTTACTGATTGTAAATAGATTGTATTGAGACAATGTATTGGAGGGTTTTTTTAAATGTTGTTTGTATTAATGTGCTACAAATGTAAAGAGACCAAGAGTGTTAAAAGAACTGGCACTGAGCCTTTTCTGGAGAACCCACCTTGGGCTGGTGAAGTCAGTCTCCATGCAAAATATCAAAACCAGCCAGCTGTACATCTATTAAACTCGAAATTACTGTGAGGGAAGCATGTAAGGAAGGCTCCAAAATTACCTGCAGTGTGACTGAGGGCTCAGCACTAAAGATCAGTACTCCACCCAAATGAGGATTGCAACCTCATCCTCATCAGAGAGATATAACAAAAGCAGCGCTTTAAAAAGATGATAGGACCATGGAGTGTATAGTAGCATCCTCAAATCTTTTCATGAGCTGTATGCTCTTATCCTGGCTATCAAGCCCTGGGAAATTTCCACTTAGCCTTTAAACCTTCTCTACTTCCTTAGGGGTAGGACTAACATATTTCAGGTTCCCAAAAAGAGGATATTGCTGGAGAGAGGAGGAGGTGGTGCTGGGGGGAGAGGGGTTGAGGTATTTGGCGGGGAGGCTGCAGCCCCAGCTGTCAGCCCCCCACGTGGGGTGGGGGGGAGAAATCCTGGACAATTACTAATATTTTAAAAATCTACCCGGACAGAGATTGGCAGACCAAAACCGAGGTCATGACCCAGAAAAGCTGGACATATGGGAAGCCTCCTTAGGGGTAAAAAGAGACTTTAGGGGGTAGACATTCTTCCTGCAGGGCCCATGGCCCCCTCTTGCCTTGGTCCCTGGTGAGCTGGCGTTATGATGCATACTCACCCTCTGTAGCTCAGGGGTGAGCTTCTCTATCAACTGCTTAAGCGTCTCTGTTGCCCTTAAACATTCCTGGAAAAAACTAACAGGAGAAGCGAATGTGAGAGAATGGTTTGAACTGAAGCTCCTAGCATTGACAGTGCTGCATGTGAACAACATGCCGCTGTGCATTGCGCTCCTTAGAGCCTTTGCTTTGCTGTGTCATTATTAACCCTTTTGGGCCAACAGTCCTGGCCTCACACACCTTATCATTATCAGGAACCCCAGATTCTCATAATAACCAGTGACAACAAACCGAGGAGTGGGAAGCCAGCACTCTAATTGCTTTTGTATTGTACTGTCAAAATGCAAGTACCAAGTACTGTAACTTGCAGGACAAACACAACCGTAGAGTCCTACGGCTACACCATCTCCAGAGGGAGAGGAAGCGGAGCATGTTACCACATAGGTGGAGGGTGACTGCAGGATATTTGTTCACTGCAAAATAAATCAAATGCCCAGGTCTCCTCAGTTAAACTGGGGATCTTGCAAAGAAAGGGAGGATAGGGAATAAAGATGACCGATCACTCTTACTTGAACTGAGCATTGCAATGCTTGATGTGGTTCTGCAGCAAGTCCACTCCTTTCTTGGTTTGAATCTCATTCACTTTGATCAGATACTGAGGGGAAAACACACCTAGGAGTTGGTTCTTGTTACCTGCTGGGTTCTGCATTGTTTACTTATCACCCTCCGTGTTGCCATGACTTATGATTTTGGCTCCCACTACTGCAGTCTTCCCATTCTGTGCTAGCTATAGACTTCCTGGGAAGCGAGCCAGAGACCAGCAGAGACTGCCTAACACAGTGTTGTGTAGCCTTAGTAGATGGTGCACTGATCTGTAAGCCTGGAGATTAGCCCCAGCTATTCCACTAGCTCCTATTCACACTTCTGTGCTCTTCACAGCTCTTATTGTGAGTCAAGCTTTCATACAGATTCACTGAACGGGAGTGAGGTCATTTAATGCTAACCCAGGGCTCATACTAGAAGGCCAAGTCTCATTTACTTTGCCACACACCTCAGAATATGCCTGTCAAACTAGGCTCTTGTGTATCCCACGCTAACCCACTCTGGCTCGGTTACTCGCTAGAAGCTAGACCACATATAGAATGTTATGACTCCACTTCACTTCCATACTGGACAGGTCTGGTTCTTAAGGTCAGGTGTCAGCGACTCAGGTGTTTACATCCAGAGGTCTTGGGTTCAAACCCCAGAGATGCCCCAAACAGGTGGTGGTACATTTAGCTACCCACTCTGTAACCACTACACCACAATCTATTTTCAGAGCCAGAAATAGAAACCAAGAATCCTGATGCCCAGTGTTCCACTGTCTCACAAATATTTGTGTAACCCACTGCCTGTGTGTGTGTTGTGGCTCCCTATCAGACGGTCCAGCATAGAGAACAACAACATACAGGCCCCATTTACTCCTATAGTTAATGTGGAAGTGGTCTGTGTTGAAGGCTTAAATATGTATGTATAACAATTAGTGGAAGGACTCTGAAGTAACTACTGGAATGACTTGACATTGCAGAACCTTGTAATTAGAAGTGCATGTGGATGCTGTGCTAGTTTCTTTTACTGTTGCATTTTCAGGGCATGCATTTGGCTAATGGGAGCTGGCCCTTTAAGAAGAGAGTGTGGCTGACAGTGTGTTTGAGATTAGGAGTGCGTGGGAGATTTTGCCTGTGTGAGCTCCAAAGTGGCTGGAACGTGAGTTAATAAACTCATCTTTCCAGAAAGCCGCCTCCCCCTCCCTTTCCCGGTCACTCTTATGAGGGAACGGATGATTGAGGGTGTTGCTACAGACCTGTTTGCCCCTGTGTGGCTGTCCAGTCCAGCAGGGATACAATCTTGTTCCTTTCTAATGGTAGCATCTACTGTATGGAAGTTACCTAACACGTCCTGGGTTTTGTTGCTTATAATGATGCCAAACTTTAACAAGCTGGGCTGAACTTATTCATGCCGAATATATGCCTCAGGCTCAATAATTTTGGAAAGTTTCAGCAGAAACGGTGTTTCCAGGGATGAGGTCAATGACAACTAAGGGTATGTCTACACCCAGCCGCTAGTTCGGCGGCTGGGAATCGAAGTTCTGGGTTCGACTTATCGCGTCTTGTCTGGACGCGATAAGTCGAACCAGGAAGTGATCGCCGTAGACTGCGGTACTCCAGCTATACGAGAGGAGTACCGCGGCGTCGACGGGGGAGCCTGCCTGCCGCGTGTGGACCGAGGTAAGTTCGAACTAAGGTACTTCGACTTCAGCTACGTTATTCACGTAGCTGAAGTTGCGTACCTTAGTTCGAATTGGGGGGTAAGTGTAGACCAGGCCTAAGTAATTTTAACAATACTGACCAACTTTCCAGCCTTTTTAACGCACTGTATTTCTTATTATGTGCACTGTGGCAGCAGGAGACAGGCCCAGCCCCGAGGAGCATCCAGCCCCCACAAAAAAGAGAGTCACTGAGTTTAAGGCCAGAAGGAACCACCCAGATCATCAAGCCTGACCTCCAGTATTGCACAGGTCACCACCTCCACCCAGCACCCACACATGAATCCAACACTTGAAATGTGACCAGGAAGAAAGACAGACCCACACCCGGAGGGGCAGGGCTAGAAGACAGGAGCAGAGTGCTGGGCAGCAAACAGCATGGCAGGGCTGGGGTTTCTCTTCCCTTCTGGGTGAGGGTTTTTTTTTTCAGTTCTGTTCTTTTCTTTTTCAGTTTTTTTGTGGGGGGAGGGGAGAAAGGGTTGGCTTAGTTTATTTCTGTTTCTCTTACAAGTATTATAGGGCAGGGGAGGGGAGGGGAGGGGAGAAAAGAGCAGGGGGAGGGAGAGAAGGAGAGGAGCCTGGGGGGCACTTGGGAGTCAGACTGTGTGAGGAGGGGGTAGGAGGGAGCTGGAGCTGGCAGCCAAATCAGCACAGGAGAAGAGTGCTCAATGCAATGCTGCAGATAGCCAGCTGGGCTCCTGGGACATCATCAGTGTCTGAGGGCCCCAGTAGGGTTGCCAGATGTCTGTTTTTTACCAGAACACCAGGTTGAAAAGGGACCCTGGTGGTTCTGGTCAGCACCGCTGACCAGGCCATTAAAAGTCCGATTGGTGGCACAGCAGGGCTGGCAGGCTCCTTCCCCAGCTCCGCAGCGCAGCTCCCGGGAAGCAGCCGGCATGTCCCGCCAGCTTGGGGGCGGCCACAGCGGCTTGACATGCTGCTGCTGCCCCGAGCGCCAGCTCCACAGCTCCCATTGGCCAGGAACCACAGGTAGCTGTGGGAGTGGTGCCTGCCGGCAGGGGTGGCACACAGAGCCACCTGGCCGCTCCCGAGCTGGAGGAACATGCCAGTCACTTCCCGGGAGCCACCTGAGGTAAGTGCTGCCCGGAGCCTGCACCCCCTTCTGCACCCCAACCCTCTGCTCCAGGCCTGAGCCCCCTCCCACACCCAAACTCCCTCCGGCACCCCACACCTCCTGCCTCAGCCCTAAGCTCCCTCCCCCACCCAAACTCCCTCCCAGAGTCTGCATCCCACACCCCTTCCCATGCCCCAACCCCCTGCTCCAGCCCTGAGCCCCTTCCCGCACCCAAACTTCCAGAGCCCACCCCCCCCACACACACCCCAAACTTCTGCCCCAGCCCAAAGCCCCCTCCCGCACCCTGAACCCCTCCTTTCTGGCCCCAGCCCAGAGTCCATACCCACTCCCACACTCCAACCCCCTGAGCAGCCTGGAGCCCCCTCCTACACCCCAAATCCCTCATTCCTGGCTCCACCCCAGAGCCCACACACCCAGCCAGAGCCCTCACCCCTCCCACTCCCAGAACCCCTCAGCCCCAGCCCAGAGTCCCCTCCTGCACCCTAAACCTCTCATCCCCAGTCCCATCCCGGAGCCCTCACCCCCTTCCGCACCCCAACCCCCTGCCCCAGCCCGGTGAAAATGAGTGAGGGTGGGGGGAGCGCAAGCGACGGAGGGAGGGGGGATAGAGTGAGCTGGGGGGGCGCAGAGAAGCGGTGGGGTTTCGGAGAAGGGATGGGGCAAGGGTATTTGGTTTTCTGCAATGAGAAAGTTGGCAACCCTGGGTCCCAGAGAGGCCATGCCTGTTCCTGTTGATAGAGTTTCTCTGACCCTGGGGCTGGGATTTCCTCCCTGGGATTTCTTTCTGTCTCAAGGAAATGATCCTTGGTACCCTGGCCAGGGGTCCCTGCATAGTTCTGGATCTAGGAGTGCTGGGTGAGCAGTACTCCCAGTTGTGCACCAGCCAGTGGTGCCGGAATGGGGGAGGGGGGGCAGGGAGCCAGGGCCCTCCCACCTTTTGAAATTGGACAGGCTTGGCCCGTCCACTTTTTGGCAGGGGCCCCTCCTATTCCCCCCCAGGCCCCGTCCCCCCAGCCAGGACGGCAACTGGAGCCTGGCTGGGGAGCCTGGGCAACTGTGGGGAGCCGTGCCGCGGACCCTCCACTTGCCAGGGGTGAGGGTGGGGTCAAGAGAGGCCTGTTTCCTTGCCCCGTGGGCCCCCCACCCAGGACAAGAGGGTCCACGACTCCCCACAGCTGCCCACATGCGGCTCTTAGCTGGACATGGCTTAGCTGGGGGGCCGTAGGTAAGAACCACGTGGACAGCTGCCCTGGCCCCTGTCCCCCTCCCCCACCCCTGCTTTTGGGCAGGCCATGCCGCCCTTGGCACCATCTTTTCCCCTCCCCTGCACTGCTGCAGTGCCAAATGAGGCTCCTTGCATTTGCTCATGCCAACTTGGGTTTAAGAGCTCACTGGCTCCAGAATTTGGAGCAGGGACTCAGCATTTTCAGGGGCTGTCCTGGGGTCAGAGAGGTACCTTTGCTCTCCCTGGGACACGTGGGTCAGATTTAGTTGGCCAAGTTATAAGGGGCAGAAAATTGCCATTTGCACATGCTCAGCATAGATTCTTAAGAACGGCCATACTGGGTCAGACCAAAGTCCATCTAGCCCAATATCCTGTCTTCCGACAGTGGCCAATGCCAGGTGCCCCAGAGGGAACAAACAGAACAGGTAATCATCAAGTGATCCATCCCCTGTCGTCCATTCCCAGCTTCTGGCAAAGGGAGGTTAGGGACACCATCCCTGCCCATCCTGGCTAATAGCCATCGATGGACCGATCTTCCATGAATTTATCTAGTTCTTTTTTGAACCCTGTTATAGTCTTGGCCTTCACAACATCCTCTGGCAGAGTTCCACAGGTTGACTGCGCATTGTGTGAAGAAATACTTCCTTTTGTTTGTTTTAAACCTGCTGCCTATTAATTTCATTTGGTGACCCCTAGCTCATGTGTTATGAGAAGGAGTAAACAACACTTCCTTCTTTACTTTCTCCGCACCTGTCATGATTTTATAGACCTCAATCATATCCCCCCCTTAGTCGTCTCTTTTCCAAGCTGAAAAGTCCCAGTTTTATTAATCCCTCCTCATATGGAAACTGTTCCATACCCCTAATAATTTTTGTTGCTCTTTTCTGAACCTTCTCCAATTCCAATATAACTCACACAGTATTCGAGATGTGGGCACACCATGGATTTATATAGAGGCAATATGATATTTTCTGTCTTTTTATCTATCCCTTTCTTAATGATTTCCAACATTCTCAGTGGTGGCAGATGACAGAACAAGGAGCAATGGTCTCAAGTTGCAGTGGGGGAGGTCCAGGTTGGATATTAGGAAACACTATTTCACTAGGAGGGTGGTGAAGCACTGGAATGTGTTACCTAGGGAGGTGGTGGAGTCTCCTTCCTTGGAGGTTTTTAAGGCCCGGCTTGACAAAGCCCTGGCTGGGATGATTTAGTTGGGAATTGGTCCTGCTTTGAGCAGGGGGTTGGACTAGATGACCTCTTGAGGTCCCTTCCAACCCTGATATTAGGGGGGAGGGATAGCTCAGTGGTTTGAGCATTGGCCTACTAAACCCAGGGTTGTGAGTTCAGTCCTTGAGGGGGCCACTTGGGGCAAAATCAGTACTTGGTCCTGCTAGTGAAGGCAGGGGGCTGGACTCGATGACCTTTCAAGGTCCCTTCCAGTTCTAGGAGATAGGATAGGATTCTATGATATTCTATGACTCCCACATTTGGGAGGCTGGGCGTGAGCACTGGAAGCTCCCGAGAAGTGGGGGGGCCACTGGTGTCCAGACCGTGGCCCCGCCCCCTGCTCTGCCTCGAGGCTTGGCCCCCTCCCCCGAGGCCACCCTACCCATCTCTGCCCCCTCCCACCACTCGCGCTTCTTCGCCTCCTCCCCCAAGACCCCCACCAACTGCTCGCACCTCTCCACCCCCCTACCTGCCCACCACTCGGCGGGTGGAGAGGCATGAGCGGCAGGCGGGGCCACGGGGGAAGAGGACAAGCACAACGGGGCCTTGGGGCAGAATATGGGCCAAACTATGGCACCTTTTTGGTGGCAGGGCTCCAAAGATACGGGCTGGCGGCACCCGCCTGTTTGGGGAGGCTTAGCATCCCCTGGCCTCTTCTACCCGCTGCCCATGGGGAAGGGAGGGGGGATGGGCACAGTTGTAATTTCTGTAAATTGAACAAGGTGTCAGACTACAGGAAACAAGGCATCTGGTCAAAAATGAACACTAGAAACATCTCTGTGCCACACAAGAAGCTGAAAGGCAGCCACCGGGAGCTAGGCTGGCTGGCAATGGAAGAGGCCTTGATACAATCCTCACAAAGACATTCAATTGGAGTTAAAAAAAAAAACCCACAACCATGTGAGAATTAGGGGTCTTCCTCTTCAAGAGTTTCCTCTCCCCATCCCCGAGCCACTCTGCACCTTCCCTCCCATGGCCCATGGCTGAGACGTCCAAGTTCACGGCAGGTGGGAGTTGCGGAGAAGAGGCCAGTGCTGCTCAGTGGAAAGGATCATTGCTCTAGGTGCTTGGGATGCTGCTGCTCCCTCCCACCCCCCCTTACCTCACACATGTTTAACTGGAACATCCTGCGCTCCTTCTCCATCTCCTCCGCGATCTCCCCTCCCACCACCTCGCTCCGCACCAGCCCGTGCTGCTTCGCCAGCTCCCGCTTCTCCTTCTCAATCTTTGTGCTTGAAGAAAGGGAAAAAACACCCTGAAAGGCTCTCTTGGGCCAGGCTTTATTAAAATCGGCTCCCAGTGAGCCTGAGTAAAGAGGACGGGGGCAGGTCAACTTACAGTTTATTCTCATAGTCTTTCCAGGCTTTGTCAAAAGGCTTTTTGAAGTCCTGGTAAGAGACGGGTAAGTGCTTAGTGACAATGGCCCTGTACAATACGCCCCCTGTGCCTTACCCCTGGCATGGCAGAGCTTTCTACGCACACCACAGCGCACTGCTAACCTGCCTAGTCAGGGCCCAAATGTGCACTCTAGCCTGTTTGTTATGGCCACGTCAGCTGCCCAGCTAGTAAGTCAGCTTGGTCTGTGTGTCCCATGTAGTGGTATCCTATGGACATGTCATTCCGAACCTGCAGGGGCTGGAAGCTGTGCAGGGGACACCAGAGTGCTCTCTACAGCTACCCCCTCCCCCCCACCCCCATGCTGCTGGAGTGAAACTGTCGCACTCACCAGCTGGAGAATCTGCATCATCTCACTCTGCACATTGCTGAGAGTGAGTTCCCCTATTGCTCATGCAGCATGCACGAAAGCTAAAACAGGAACACCCCCAAACACATGCACACACACAGACCCACACGTGTGTATACACAGACCCAGAGCCACACAGACATATGTTCACAGATGTGTGCACACAAGAATACACAGGCACATAGATTTTAAAGCCAGACGGGACCATTAGAACATCTAAGCTGACCTCCTGGCTAGCACGGAATATTCAGTTTCACCCCATTACCTCTGCATTGAGCCCAGTAATTCGTGTTTGGTTAAAGCATCTTCCAGAAAGACAGCTAGTCTGGATCTGAAGACACCAAGAGATGGAGAATCCACCTCTTCCCTTCGGAGTTTGTTCCAATGGTTAATCACTCTCATGGTTACAAATTTGTTTGGCTTCAGCGTGTAGTTGTTGGTTCTTGTTCTGCCTTTCTTCCCTAGATTAAAGAGCCCTTTAATAACCTGGTATTTTCTCCCCAGGAAGATGTCACAGATCCTAGCTAGCAGCCCTTCCTGGCTGCCCACTAGGATTGTTGCGAGGGAATCCAAGCTGTGCTGTGGGTTTCCAGGGGGTTCCAAGCTCCTGGAGCCTGAATGGAGCCCAGCCACTGCCCGAAGCTCAGGGTCCCTAAGCACACTCTCAGGCCACAGACTTTTTAGCTGGCAATCCCCAACTGTTGGAACCTGCTGTCCAGCCACCTAGCCCCTCTGGGCGTAGCGCTGACCCTTCAGACTCCCCTGTACTCAGACACCCCTCTGCCAGAACTCCACCCAACAGCAGGAAGCTTCTGCTTTACACTTCAAGTCTTTCAGGGGCAGACAGCAGTTGTGAAGCAGTCAACACACACGCATGCACACACACATTTTATTCAATATATCAACTCTACGCTCTTTACACTTAGGCCTGGTCTACACTACAGAGTTAGGTCAATGTAAGACAGCATCCACACTGCAATGGTGCTCCCACCGATGTACGTCACCCACTGCATCGACTTAACTCCACCTCCACGAAAGGCGCAGCGCTTAGGTCGATGTAGTTAGGGCGACACAGTGTCCACACAGACACTGCGTTACTTACATCGCCTGTTGGCGCTCAGCTGGGTGTGGGGCTGACATCTGGAACCTCCCTCGTACCCCAGCAGGGCTGTCAGCGCCAGGACAGCGCCCCCAAACCATCACTTTTCTCCCCCTTTCAAAAGAGAACAGAGCAGGGGTACATGACAAGTACTCCAAGGATGTTCTACCCACCCTCCCCCATTTCGACAGCGCATCTGCTTTACTACTTATTAATTTAAACTTCATACAGTCAGTCAATCAACAGATAAACAGTTCCAATCACCACATCAAAACAGTTTCATGACAACATTATAGATCAGTTCCCAATCCCCCCCCCACCTTGGGGCAAGGTGAAGTGTGTTTGCTCCCCCCATCCCCCTCAGGTTTAATTACACCTCCACTGACCAATGTGAAACCATAGATTAAGGGGCAACTTTCTCCCTCCTTAACCTCAAGACTCCACCCAGCGGTTGCTTCACACCTCTCTAGGGCTTTTCCCACATTCTGCCAAGCATCGTTATTTGGCAGCACTCTTTACTACCCAGAGTCACCCTCATTCCAGGGGAGCTCTGACACATCACCTTTCAGCTGTGCCTCAGTTTCCCTTTCCCTGCAGAGTTTTGAAACCTACCACCTATTAGCAGTGCCTAGTTTCCTTGCTCTCAGTGGAGTCGTGGGCCACAATGTTGCTTAGCTGTCCCAGTATCCCACAGCTATTAACATTCTGTCCCAGATTCTAGCAAGTGCCTCTTCCTGGCCTCCCCCTGGGATTGCTGTGAGGGCAATCTCAGCCTCTGTGCTCGGGACTCCCAGAGGTGTATCAAGATCCTGGAGCCTGAACAAAATTCAGCCACGGCCCCTGTCAGAGGAGGTATTTATATACACAAGACTTATTAAAAATTAACATCAGTGAGCCAGAGAGCTCCTCAGCCAACACTTTTAGGCCTTCTGGATGCAATATTTATCCCTAGCTGCTGCTGCTGCTGCTAACATCCTCCTCAGTTACTAATGGACTCGGAAGGTATTTCTTCAGCCTCACGTGACACAAGCACATCATCCTGCTTCTTTCCAAATCCAGAACAGAAATATTTATTGAACACTTCTACCTCTTCTGCATCCTTAACAATTTTACCATCTTCATCTAATAATGGGCACGTGCAAACACAGATATCAATACAGAGAAGCACACCTGAAAGCAACACACACTTACACACATGTACCCAGGGTCAAGGTGGATTCTCCACCACTGGCAATTTTTAAACCAAAATTGGATGTTTTTCTAAAAGTTCAGCTCTACTTCAAAGAGGAATTGATTCAGGGAGGTTCTCTGGCCTGTGCTATACAGGAGGTCAGGCTAGATGATCCCAATGGGCCCTTCTGGCCTTGGAATCTATGCAGCTAGGAGAGCCATGCACACCCAGACACACCCATAGCCACATGTGCACACACAAACACATAGTGGGGTGAGTTCCCTGGGAGAGCACATGTTAGAGTCCACGGGGGGTGGGCAGGAAACACCAGAGGATGGGGGGCGAGGAGGCCATAGGGGCCGTACGCTCACACCAAAGGGGCCCCACTGAGAGGTCACAGCAGGTGTACATTTGCCTGGGGAAGGCCACAGAGGGCATGATTTGACTGGGGAGGGGGCAGGGGTTTGCTGGGAGGCCATGGGAGGTGCACACTCACCCCAGGGGAGACCCTGCTGGGAGGTCACAGGAGGTGCATACTCGCCCAGGGATGCCCCACTGAGAGACCATGGGTGCCATGCACTCACAGGGGGGGCTCACTGGGAGGACATGGGACATGCACTCGCCTGGGGGCTCCCTGGCAGGCCACATGGGACACGCACTCGCCTGGGGGTGCCCCAGGAGGCCATGGGGGACATGCACTCACTTGGGGGCTCAATGGGAGATCATGGGGGACACGCACTCACCTGGGGGCTTCCTGGGGGCCCTGGGAACACTAGGGTTGCCAACTGTCTAATCACAGAAACCCAGACACCTATGCCCCGGCCCCTTCCGCAAGGCCATGCCCTGCTCTTTATCCACCCGCCTCTATCGCTCGCTCTCCCCCACCCTCACTCACTTTCAGTGGGCTGGGGCAGGGGGTTGGAGTGCAGGAAGAGGGTTGGGGTACAGACTCTGTGAGGGAGTTTGGGTGCTGGACAGGGCTCAGGGCTGGGGCAGGTGGTTGGGGTGCAGGAAGGGGTGGGGGTGCTGGCTCCAGGAGGGGGCTCAGGGTTGGGGCAGGGGATTGGAGTGCAGGAGGGTGTGAGGTGTGGAGGTTCCGGCTGGGCAACGCTTACCTCGGGCAGCTCCCAGGCAGCAGCACAGCAGGGCTAGGGCAGGCTCCCTGCCTGCCCTGCACCATGCCGTTCCTGAAAGCAGGTGGCACGTCCCTGTGGCCTCTGGTGGGGCAGAGGGCTCCATGCGCTGCCCCTGTCTGCAGGCACCACCCCCGCAGTTCCCAGCCAATGGGAGCTGTGGAGTCGGGGCGGGGGCAGTGCGCAGAGACTCCCTGCCCCCCTCCCAGGGGCTGCAGGGACGTGCTGGCCGCTTTGGGGAGCAGCATGGGGCCAGGGCAGGCACGGAGCCTGCCTTAGCCTCGCTGCGCTGCTGGACTAAAATCTCCTGGTTTGGCTTCAGTAGCCCCTGGGAGATAGAGCCTGATTCTGGGAGACTGCCAGCAAAACCAAGAGGGCTGGCAACCCTGGGACACGCACTCAACAGGGTCTCCCTGGGAGGCCCTGGGGACATGCACTTGCCTGAGGGCTCACTGGGAGACCACGGGGACACACAGTCACCGGGGGAAGGGCTTTCTGGGAGGCCAGGCACACTCAGTGCAGGGGGCGTGCACACTCACCCAGTGAGGGAGCTGATTGGGAGGCCATGGGGGGTGCTCATGCAGTGGATGTAATGAGAAGCTATGAAGTATTTGGGGGTAAACAGGTTCTTTTGTTCCCAGGGGACTCCCATGACACCCCTCGGTTCAGCCAAAGGGCTGTAGGCAAATTGGGTCAGAGAAGGGGGAGGAGTGAAGAGGTGGGCGGGGACATTGCCCTGCTGTCAATCACATCTATGCCTGCATCCAGGCTGGAGAGCAGCAGTGGCAGGTGGCTGCGTGCCAAGGTCCTGGAGACAGAGATGGAGTTTTCTGGAGGGCTCAGGAGCATTGCTGGGCCCAGCTGCTCCCACAAAGCTCAGAACTCAGCTCTTAGCACTGCTACTGCCTGCTGCTAGTGAAACAGGGAGGGGAACATCCTTCAGCTGGTGCAGCCCTCTTCCAGGGCCCATCCTGACAGGCCTGCTCAGCATCTACTCACCCCTTTGAGCTCTTTTAAGTCTCTCTTTACCAGCGAGTCCAGGGAAAAGTTAATGTTGTGAGACAAGCTCTGCAACTGGAAAGAAAAGAGAGAGACCCTGAAGCCTGCGTTGTGAGTGCCCCCAGCACAAAGCCAGGCAGCGGGTCTCACCCACTTTGCAGCCTACAGGAGGATCCCCCTCAGCGCTCTCATCCTGGACAACGGCTCCTTGGGGAAGCACTTGTCTTACAGATTCTGTTGATTGCCATCTTTTCCCATGGGCCCTGATTCTGCAGCTGGAGGACAAACTTGGCAACCTCCACCCCAACTGGAGCAGGCAGGGTGTGGAGGTGTCAGGGGGAGCCCTGTTTCGTCCCACGCACCCTCAGGCAGGTGGAACAGGGGCTGAGACTCCCTTGCTGGTTCCTCACATTGTGTGGGTAGCTCAGAGGTTGTGAGGGAAAAGCTGGTGTGCATTGGCAAAGGGCAGGGTGGAAAATATTCTCCCACAACCAAATCCAAGGGGATTTTCACCAGCCTTCTGTCAGGGGCAGCTCTAGGCACCAGCAAAGCAAGCACATGCTTGGGGCAGCCCATTTGCAGGGGCGGCAGGGATCCAGCATGGGAGCTGAGAACCAACAGGGGGCCCTGGGAGCTGTAGTTCCTTGGTTAGCTCCCTGCCTATAGAGCCAGCCCTGGAGCAGGGAAAGAACTACATTTCCCAGCATTCCCTTGGCCACTACCAACAGGAAAGAGGGGGAGGGAGTGAGGAAGCTGAGACCTCATTCTACAGCCTGCTTTGAATGGAGAGCTGCACTGGGAAGGGTAGGGATACCATCTTTTAACATTCAAAAAATAGGACACTCCACGGGGAGGGAGGGTAGCCCCACCCTGCCCCCATCCACTCCCTCCGACTGCCCCCCACAGAAACCCCAACCCATCCAACCCCCCTGCTCCCTGTCCCCTGATCACCCCCTCCCGGGACCCCTGCCCCAACTGCCCCCAGGACCCCACCCCCTATCAAAGCCCCACTGGTCCTTGTCCCCTGATTGCCCCCTCCTGAGACCCACCCCCTATCTAAGCCTCCCGTCTCCGTGTCCCCAACTGCCCCCTCCTGAGACACCCCCGCAAGTTCCCCCCTAGGACCCCACCCCCTACCTGTCCCCTGACAAACCCCTGGGACTCCCATGCCTATCCAACTGCTGCCTGTCCCCTGAGTGCCCCCCTGAACCCCTGACCCATCTACCCCCCCTTCTCCCTGCCCCTGACTGCCCCCCCGAACCTCCACCCCATCCAAC